TGTGAAGCATGTTCATTAATGTCAAATAGATAATTTAATTCAATTTTATCTACATGTGCTTGCTCTAATTCTTATTATGATTCTGGAATTGAAGTTTGTTAAAAATGCCATTATTCCTGTTTAACTTGTTTTGCTTTTGGTGCTTAATTTTGTAATTCTTGTTAGGAAATGACGACTTCTTTAAGAGTATTAAATGCAGGAGTTTGCTAATGTTTAAATGGATATTATGATGATGGAGTAAATAATAATTGTAAAAAATGTTTAATTTAATGTTTGACATGTTAAAATACTGCAGATTATTGCACATCTTGTACAACAACTACTAGACATTTAGATGGAAATACATGTAAATGTAATGCAGGTTTTTTTGAAAATAATCTGGAGAATTGTATTCAATGTGATAAAAATTGTGTTAATTGTTTAACTAATTCTAAATTATGTACTGAATGTGATTAAACCTAATTAAGAGTTTTAGATAATACTTCTCATACTTGTATATGTAAAGTTGGAACAACAGAAATAAATTTGGTATGTTAAATTTGTGATACTAATTGTTTGACTTGCTTAAATTCAATTTCTTATTGTACATCTTGCAAAACTCTAAAATTATTGATAAATAATAGATGCTAATGTATTGATGGAACATATGAATTAAATAATGAATGTTTACTTTGTAACTCATCTTGTTCTACTTGTATAAATTAGGAGAATTATTGTACTTCATGTTCAATTGATAAATATAGAGTTTTTAAAACTGGAAATATTTGTATTTGTTAAGATGGCTATTATTAATAAATAAGTACCTTAAGTTGTGAAAAATGTGATTTATCGTGTTTAACTTGTAAGAATTCTGCTACATATTGTCTTTCTTGTGATACAACTTATAATCTAAGTTTAGATGTATTAAATAGATGTATTTGTACTACAGGTTTCTATTTTAATACATCATCTAAATAATGTGAAGGTATTTATTAAATTATTATAATTAATATAGCATGTGCTATAAAATGTAAAGAATGCTAAACATTTTCTTAATGTTTAGAATGTGAAGATTTAACAAGATATTATGAATAAGATAATCTGAATTGTCCATGTAAAGATGGATATTATGAAAGTAATCTAGAGAAATGTGCAGGTATTAATATAAATAACATATATTAGAATGTGATTTAACTTGTAAAACTTGTATTAATTAATCATAACATTGTTTAACATGCGAATCAATATATTATAGAATTATGAATAACTCAAATTAATGTCTATGTCAGGATGGATATTATGATATTGGAATTGAAATGTGTTTTTAATGCAATTCAGTATGCAAAACATGTAAAATAAATTCAAGTAAATGTTTTTCATGTTATGAATCATAACATTATAGATAATTAAATCTTAATTAATGTATTTGTTAGAAAGGATTTTATGATAATGGTTAATTAGTTTGTGAAAGTAAACAATAAAATTATTATTATTACTCTAGAATGTTCTAATTAATGTCTTACATGTTAAGGTAAAAGAGATAATTGCACAAGTTGTGATATTAATTAAAATAGAATAGATTAATCTGTTATAAAAAGATGTCCTTGTTTATCTGGTTTTTATCAAGATGAAAATGAAAATGAAAATTGTTCAAGTATTCATTGATTGTACTAATAAATAGAATGTCATTTCAAATGTTAAACTTGTTCTATATTAAGGGATAATTGTATAACTTGTTCAATCTCTAAAACATCAAATAGATAATCGATATCTAATAATTGTATTTGTAAAGATGGTTATTTTGATGATGATACTTAAGTGGATTGTTAAAAGTGTAGTAATCGTTGTAAACGATGTTAAGATAAATCAAACAATTGTTTAAGTTGTTTTAGTAATCTTAGAAATACACCTCCTTTATGTAATTGCAAATCTGGATTCTTTGAAAATTCTACATAAAATTGTGAACGTATATTATTATTATTCAAATATTTAGCTTGCGAAAATTAATGCGAAACATGTGAAAAATCTGGCTCTAATTGTTTAACTTGTAAAGAAGGTAGACATACTTAATTATGTGTATGTTAAGAAGGATATTATGAAGGTGGATATCCTTATTGTATTTGTATTAATTTATTTAATTATTAATAGAATGTGAATATTAATGTAAAACATGTATAGATTCTCCTTTAAACTGTTTAATTTGTAAAGGTGATCGTATCAATTTACCTTAATGCATATGTCCAGATGGATTCTATGATGATTTTATGAATGAAACTTGTTAAATTTGTGATTGGTTATGTAAAACATGTAATGTAAATGGTTGTTTGATTTGTAATGGTAATAGAATATTAAGTCCAGATATGACATGTGATTAACCACCAAATTCTAATTGTCATACTCATACTCCATGGTGTTCAAGTAAATAAATTATATATACTTGCATAGCTTGTGAAGTTGCTGTTGTTTAAGCTAGATTCTCTGACGATTTACTTTCTATTATCATTAAATTTGATTTCCCATTAAATCCTCAATACTTTTATTCATAATTCGAAGAAAATATTTGTTATTAAATAGTAGATGAAATTACTTTTAATTTACTTGGCTCTAATCCGTTTTGTTATCTTGATCCCCATTATGATACTAAATTAATTATTAATCTTGGAGAATAAGCTAAAATTGTATCTGGAGATTTATTAAACTTTTATTCAAATTAATTTGGACATTTGAATTGTGAAAATAAAATAAATTTATTCATACTTAAATAAATACTAAATCCTGTTAATCCAGTCTACCCTAAATTAAGTTATGATTTACCTACATATATATTAAATCCTTGTGATGATAATATTATACCACTAATATCAAAAATAAATGATGGACTTAGAAATTTAATTGGAATTATATGGACCTATACTTTTGATGGATTTAATGGAAATGGTAATCTTGAAGAATTTGTTCAATTATAAACAAGATTATAATTATTAGAATTATCTATTCCATTCTAAACACTCCCAAAATAATCTAATATTACA